TTTTTGCAATGGATGCGATTTACTACCGCTTTGAATATTCAGGTTTGATGTTTAATAACATTTTGGATCGACTGAGAGCACTGTAGCTGCTTAATAATTAAATGAATCCTCAAAAATACAACTTGCTTAATAATTATGCACACAATGTAGACCCCAAGAATAAATACAGAGGTAAGTGCAAAAGAGAAGACTAGTCCCTAAATGTCAAAGTCTATGCAGGTAGGTATTAATGAATATCACATCAAAGTCCAATAATTGATCCTTGTGCAGTAAAGTCCTTTAATGTCCATCCATTAAAGGCAAGCTTGTCCTCAGAGCAGAAGCTGACTCTAACATGTGAAAAACAAAAGAGAACAGAAGAAGCGACTCTAAATAAACACTTACAAGGAAACTTTATTTGGATAAAGGTAGGCAACTCACATATAGCAGAAAATTCATAGGCTCATCAGTTAAAACCACAGTGTAGTAGTTGCCACTTGTTGGAGGAGAAATGCCATGGGGATCCAAGCATGCCACCCTCTACGGGCGAGGAAGCCAGCCGGCAGATATCCTACATCTGGAAGTGAGGGTTGGAATACATGTGGACTGCAGCGCCTGGCATGATGACATCAGCGGGGGTGATCAGAGGTGGAGGGAGGTATTCTTATGAAAGAACTTCATGTCAACTTGATATATGGTGAAGATGATTACCTTGTGACCTTTCAAGGCTGACAAGCCTGAATTAAAGGTTTCTTCATCATCCCTTGGTTCCTTATGGGTGGTCTGAGGTTGTTATCTTGGGTGGTTTCTTGATAATTAGGAGATCTGTAACAGTGTGCATGCTTGGAAATGTGTTGCACTCACCCCAGTGATGTCATTACGCCAGGCTCTGCAGACCTTGTGTGTTCCAGTCATCACTTTCAGATGTAAGATGTCTGCCAGCCGGCTTTCTCGCCCCTAGAGAGTGGCATGCTTGGATCCCCATAGCATTCCTCCTCCAACTAGTGGCAATTACTACACCGGTGCTTTTAACTGATGAGCCTATGAATTTTCTGCTATATGCGAGTTGCCTATCTTTATCCAAATTAAATTTCCCTGTAAGTCAAACTTAAAGGCACTTCTTCTGTTCCCTTTTGGTCTAGACCCCAGCCAAACCCCAGGGATTGGATGAAGCACAATACATATTTAAGCTGCCCATTTGACTCTCCTAGCCCCTATGTTCTTGAAGCCTCTGGATAGCAATGGGAAACAGTCAAAACACTGAGATCCAGAACAGCCCAAAGGAAGCAACAGCTGCTCCAACGATTACAGAGGAACCAAAAATAAATATATTTACCTATTATCCTAGAAGCCTATCTAGCAGGGTGCTATAGATTGTTTGGAAATTTCCCTGAAGTTGGGCTTTGACTCTTACTATGTATACATTTTTATCTCCACCTAGAAGATACCATGACCTCTTTCCTCTGATTCTGCAGTATGCACCATCTGTAAATGAAATAAAGTCTTGGAGGAATATCTGACCACTCAGCATGTTCTCTATCCTCCACAACGGAGGTTACTACTTCGGATCGCTTCAGGCACAACTCATTCAGCATATTAAGTGATTAATTAGAACTTCAGAGCTGATTTGCATTTGTTTCTCTTAGAGGACAGATTTGAAAAATCGTCAGGAAATATGCAAGCAGAACCGTTCCACTTTCCTGGGTTAATTTATATGTATTCAGAACAATGGAGGGCGCCGACACTGCTGCTGCTGTCATTTATTCCTGCGTGTTAGCTGAGCCAAAATGATTTCCCTTACATGTATTGTTGTGTGATCGCTCTTCAGTTGGTTTTGAAGAGTCTATCACTGTCATTCAAGGAGATCATTATCTTTTATCTGTTTTGCCTACAGAAGGCACAGAAAAGTATTAAAAAAAAATGTTTTTGCACATGTGCAGCTCTGTACATTCCTTAGTGCCAGGAAGAATTAAAGAATATGTAAACCCAATATTTCATATTCCCGATATGTGACTGATGTATCATGTACTTCTATGAAAAGGTGTTTTGTTCTCTTTGTATTGCTTCCTCGGTGTGAAATCCGTGGTATTCCTGCTTTCCTATCAAAAACTAACCACACTAGACAAGAACGCACAGTGTGGTCAGTTCTCTAGCTGTGCTCAGAACTCAGCCTGCTCTTCTCCAATGATCAGACTTGTCTTGACACGCCCCACCCTGCACATCCATCTACTGGGAAGACCAGTGTACTACAGTTTCTCCTCCCCCACCTCTCTGAGCTCCTTATGCAGCTGAGAATAGAGGGTATGTGATCACTTATAAAAAGAGAGAAAAAAGGTATATATATAGTATTTTTTTCTATATATACAAATATTTTGCCTTTTATTTTAAACCAAATGGGTGTTTAAGAGTTCAGACATACTTTAAATGTGAACTCTGGGAATTTGATTTTACCCATGCAGTGGGGCCCCCGCAACACAAGGGATAAATGCTTGATTAGTCTAGGGGTGCAGGGATTAATTGTAATGCTTTCCTGTTTTCCAACTCTGGCAGGCTCCCTCCATCCATGTGACCAGTCCAGCACAGCATCCTCAGTCTGCGGTTGCAAGCTCAACTCCTCACTTATTTAGCGTTACCCTCTCAACGGGCACTGGATTTGTTTGGGACCCCCTAAGCTCTGCACAGCCAGGCAACACGCATTTTTTTTTACATCTTGCACCAAGAGTCAATAATACAGTCTTTGAGCTGTTTTTTTGTTGTTTTTATTGAGGGGTTAACAACTTGGATGGAGCCTAGGGATATATGGGATGTCCAAGGAACTGTAGAACTTGAGGACAAACTTCTTAGCAAACTGTACACTGTACAAAATGTAGATCTGCAAAAATAGCACTGTCTCTTTAAGGAGCTCTAAAGTCCCCTTAGCGTATCTCAGACCCTAGATGAATCCTTCCTCTTCACCCAGCTGCACTGAGGGTGTCTCTGGGCAAGGGATTTCAAGATCTAGCAATGAAATAGACCCGTATGAGAACTATTTGGGTATTGCACCTTACTGCCCTCTCCCTTTATCTTGCCCAGGGGGTGTAGGAGTATTCACACACTGTCCTGTCCTGCCAGCATGGTGGGTTGGTGGGTGCTTTCAGGCCTTTCACTGGGCTGGCTACTTCCCTCCTGCTCAGGATGTCCTCCCTAAGAGACCTTGGGCAGTGAAGAGCCTCATTTCCAGCATCCTGTCTGTAGCTAGACTCCCCTCCCTGGGGCCCCTTCCCAAGCTCCACACTCCAGCCTTCCTCTCAGTCCATCTTCCACCCCCCTCCTTGTCTGCTCAGGCTCTACCATTTTAAAGGGCTGTCCTTGGTCACCATGCCCAGCCTCCTGCCTGGGGATTGGTCAAACACCCTCAAACATGCAGATCTGGGCCTCCTCTGTCCCCCTTAAAGAAAGTTCTCTAAGTTTCTGGAAGGGTGAGAGTACTCCAGAAGCCCTCACCTGTAGACCCTCCCAGCCTGCGCTTAGGTGAACTCCTGCCTCACTCCCAATCTGATTTACCCTGGGCTTCTGCCCAGCTTCTACCTAACAAACACAATAAACCTAGCTGCCTAGAGGACGCTACATCTACAATGTAGTATTAATAGCCTGCACTCTAGGTGATGATGCTGAGCAATGGACCAAAACTTAAGGTAGAAGAGAACAGCTCTGCAGCCTGCTGGACAGAAGAATAGGGTAACTAATACAACGTATCCCTGCAGCACCAGACTAAATAAGTATTTACTCGAGTTGGGGGGGGGGGGGGGGGGGGGCACTGCATGGGTAGATTTTGTCTAATTCTCAAAGTTCAGCTTTAAAGACTAAATTATAGATTTCTCAAAAATAATCCATACACATCCACTACATAATGGTCCTGTAATCTGTTTTTCTGCCTTCTTGTAATGTCCTTCTCGAGCTCCTGGACCTTTACTTTTCCTCTTCCCTTATGTTTGTTTTGAACTGGCAATGTACATTAGTGGTGGTCAGGGACGCTATAAATTCCATAGTCCATCTTGGGAACAAGCAAGAGAGGGTGTCTACATTCCTACACACAGTAGATGTGTGTTTCATTTTGTAACAAATCGATTTTCAGAGATTCGGATGTATACAAATCTCTGAATGAACACAGTAACAAATGTCAACAAATCCAAAAAAAGTTATAATGAAATTAACAAATGCATTTGTTTTATTTGGATGACATCACATGTTGCCATGGGGCAATTAATTCAATTTTTGAACCTGTCCAATAATTCAGATTCAAGTAAAGTTGTGATTTACATTGAATTTGTAATTGTCACAGTCAGTTCGGTTCCACAGTCTAATGCAATTCTTAGATTTGTAAAATTTGGGGCTGACGAATTTTGCATTATTTATTCTATTCCGTCCAAAAATATTAAGTAGTTTCAATATATGAAAACCGAATCGACCAGAAATATCGAAACCGATAACAAATATATAGCAATCTTTTGAAAAAAGCTGCAAACTTGTTAAAATCCACCCAGAACAATGAATAGACAAAATAAATGCTCAAGATACAAAACAAATTCTGAGGATGAACCAGTTTAACCTCTTGCCGACCGCGCATAGCCGAATGACGGCTTCACCGCGGCCGGCCAGTTCTGAGTGGACGTCATATGACGTCCTCCCAGAACGCGCTCTCCTGCGCGCCCCAGGGGGTGCGCAACCCTGCGATCTCCGTGATCGCTGTGTCCTACGGACACAGCTGATCATGTGATGTGGTGAAAGGCCGATTCCCACCGGTCTTTTACCACGTGATCAGCGGTGTCCAATGACACGCTGATCACAGGGAAATGCAAGTGCCGGTTCTCGGCTGCACTTTCCTCATGCTGTCAGATCGTGAGGAAAGTACTGCCGAGAACCGGCAGTTGTCAGAGCGGGGATCGGCACCGATCATCAGGGCACTGATGATCAGTGCCCTGATGATCGGTGCCCAGCAGTGACACCCGCAAGTTCCGCCCAGCAGTGCGCCCACTAGCTCCGCCCACCCGTTCCCAGCAGTGCCCCCCACCTGCGCCCAGCAGTGCCCCCACCTGTGCCCAGCAGTGCCCCCACCTGTGCCACTCTGCAGTGCCACCTACCTGTGCCCAGAAGTGTCACCCACCTGTGCCCACCAGTGCCATCCACCTGTGCCCACCCACCAGTGCTGCCCACCAGTGCCACCCACCAGTGCAGCCCAGCAGTGCTGCCAGTCAGTGCCACCAGTCAGTGCCCAGGGGTTGTGCCAGTCAGTGCCGCCAGTCAGTGCCCAGAAGTGATGCCAGTCAGTGCCGTCTATCAGTACCATCATCAGTGTCAAATCAGTGCCGCCTATCAGTGCTGCATATCCGTGCCGCCTATCCGTGACCCCTAATTAGTGCTGCCTATCAGTGCCCATCAGTGCCGCCTCATCAACGCAAATCAGTGAAGGAGAAAAAATACCTGTTTGAAAAATTTTATAAAAGAAACAAATAAACTTTTTTTTTTTTTTCAAATTTTTTGCACTTTTTTTAATTTATAGCGCAAAAGTAAAGCGCCCAGTGGCGATTAAATACCACCAAAAGAAAGCTCTATTTGTGAGAAAAAAATGATCAAAATTTCATATGGGTACAATGTTGCATGACCGCGCAATTGTCAATCAAAGTGCGGCAGCGCTGAAAGCTGAAAATTGGCCTGGTAAGGAAGGGGGTATAAGTGCCTGGTAGGCAAGTGGTGAAATGACTTAACAAAATTCTTCAATAAACGAATGCATCCAAACCCAAATGAAAATTTCCGGCGTGCTAACAGGAAATCAGATCACAGCAGCAAAGAAGAAACTTTGGATTTGGAGAGGCTGAGAGCAATGGAAGGTACTTTTTAAGAGTTCAGTCTCACTGAACTGGGAAGAAACCAGGCAAACAATTTCAGCTGAACAACAAGGGAAAGGTGACGGTCTCAGGGCTGGAAGGGTTTCTTTGGCAGGTACTGTAAGTGTTCCATAATGCCCAATATACTGGGCATACTTGCATATTATGGGAAAAGCCCACCCACCGCACCACATTTAGTTCCAGTCAGGGCAAAGCGAAGGAGTGTTTAACCACTTAAGCTCCAGAAGATTTTACCCCCCCCCCCCCCTTCATGACCAGGCTATTTTTTGCTTTTTTAGTACTGCTTTACTTTAACTGGCAAATGCGTGGTCATGCAACCCTGTAACCAAATGAAATTTATATAATTTTTTTTCACACAAGTAGAACTTTCTTTTGGTGGTATTTGATCACTGGGTTTTTTTATTTTTTGATTATATAAATGAAAAAAGACCGAACCATTTGGAAAAAAAAAAATATTTTTTTTTGCTTTCTGCTATAAAACATATCCAATAAACTTTTTTTCAAAAATCTAATTTCTTCATAAATTTAGGCCAAAATGTATTCCGCTACAAGTCTTTGTTAAAAAAAATTCCAAAAAGTGTATATTAATTGGTTTGCATGAAAGTTATAGCATCTACAAATTATGGTCTATATACTGGAATTCTTTTTTATTTATTTTTTTTTATAGTGGCGATCAGTGAACTATAGTGAGACTGTGATAGTGTGGCGGACAATCTGACACTGACACTTAGTGGGAACTAACTGACACTGACATCACCAGTGACAATAATGCAGTGATTAGTGCTAATACTATACACTGTCACTGTACTAATAACACTGGGTGGGAAGGGGTTAACATCTCAAGGGGTTAAATGTGTGCCTAACAAGTGTCAATGTGTGGAATGCGTGCTGCTTTTTACCAAAGATCACTTTGTTCCCTCTGTACAGAGCCCTGTGTTGTTTGTCAGCACAGGGCTCTTCGCTGTGATTGGACACAGCCAATCAGCAGGTCCCGGCCATGAATCATTGGCCAGGACCTGCCCACAAAGTTCTGCTGTGTTAAATCACAGCAGAGTCGGCAGGTGGGGGTGCATGCGGTCGCCTTGAATCCAGAAGAACGCTGCGACGTACAGGTATGTTACCGTGCCTAATGTGCTGCCTGTCTGCAGTATAAGTACTGCGGTCAATCAGCAAGCAGTTAACTAGCCCACCAATACTCACCTTCCCCATACTCCCCTGCCATTTCAGCAAACCCTGTATAAAATCTGTGCTGGATGATGTTAAAGCTTTTACAAAGATGTTGTCGTCATTTGACAGTTTTCGAGGCTTAAAGTGCTAGTAAACTCCTATTAATTTTGCCTACCTACAGGTAAGCTGTAGGTAAAAGTTAATATCTCCTAAATGCTCACTGTTTAGGAGATATTCTCTCTTCTTTAGAGCCGGCGCATGCGCTCTGGAGGAATGGCATACCTGTGCCGCTCTTTCAGAGTACTGTGCCCGGGACTCCTGTGCACATGTGTGGGAGTGACATCATCACGGCCCGGCCTGTCAGACAGCCGGAGCTCACAAACCTGGATGGCAGACCAGGTGAAGATGGAAGCCTCTGCAGCAGTGACAGTGTACCTCTGGAGGGCCTCCTTTTAAGGTAAGTCCTACACAATGTGCTAGTAAGAAAAGCATACTAGTCAGGGGCGGACTGACAACTCATGGGGCCCCCGGGCAATAGAGGATCATGGGGCCCCTGTGTTCTTGCCCAAACTCAAAAAAGCCTATGAAAAAGGTACCAGGGACATCTCATGGGGCCCCCTACTAACCCCGGGCCCTCAGGCAGGGCCCAAGTTTCCAAATGGTCAGTCCGCCCTTGATACAAGTACATTATGACATTACCTTCCAGGGGACTTTACTACCACTTTAAGGAGGTCTACTATTCCCCCATACCCATATGCACTAATTTGTGATGGTTCTCATGGAGGGACAGAGTGGAAACACAGGGAACCAGTAGACGTTACCTAATGCAGAATAACCAGATGAAAGGGATGAGCTGGCTGATTGTTGTAAAACTGGTTTTGATTTCAAAGTTGATTTTTATATATTTAAAAAATGGATCACGCTAAGGTCACAAATAGACAAAATAAACTTTGCAATCTTTAAAGTGATAGCGCTGAGCAAAATACAAATACAATATTAATATTCAGTCCCAACATGTGAATAATTGGTGCAAATTGGAGGACGATCTTTTGGTCGAAACTAGTCGAGGACTTATGACACAACTTCCGCTGATGTCCCTTCTGGGAATTTTCAACACATGCTGGAACGCGGCGGCCATCTTATTTCCCATTCATAATATACAAAGCTGAATACACCTAGTGCCAGGAAAGGCACTTTTTTGTGAGTTGCATTTCTATTGTTTGACCCCATATTAAAGTTTTATACAGTTTTTACACTTTGGGATGTCTGGTTTTGTTTTGATTTATCCTGAAAATATGGAATACTGCCTGTGGAGAAGAGGAGTTGCCTAACATTGATGCAGATCTAGTGGAAAGTTATCGGTTACTACCAGCAACCACGGTTATAAGGGCAAAGGAATATCTGCCATCAGGACCGGATTGCAGACTGGGATAGTCCCAAAAAGCGAGTGTGACTTACCTAGAGATAGGTGGTCATGAAATGACGGTGAGTTTACATCTATGTGGGGCACCAATGTGAACACAGTGAAGCACTTGTCATTTCAATATGGAGTATCACCATTAAACATACAGCACCATTGCACCAATTATTCACATGTTGGGACTGAATATTAACTACTTGCCAACCGCAGATAGCTGAATGACGGCTACACTGCGGGCGGCCAGTTCTGGGAGGGCGTCATATGACGTCCTCCCAGAACGCGCTCTCCTGCACACCCCCGGCGATCTCCGTGATCACTGTGTCCTAAGGACACAGCTGATCAAGTGATGTGGTAAAAGGCCAATCACAGCGGCCTTTTACCACCTGATCAGCCGTGTCCAATGACACGCTGATCACTGGGAAATGCAATTGCCGGTTCTCAGCTGCACTTTCCTCACGCTGTCAGATCGTGAGGAAAGTATTGCCGAAAACCAGCAGTTGTCAGAGCAGGGATCGGCACCGATCATCAGCAGTGCAAACCTACCATTTCCACCCACCTGTGCCCAGCAGTGCCACCTCCCTGTGCACAGAAGTGCCACCTACCTGTGCCCAGCAGTGCCACCCACCTGTGCCCAGCAGTGCCACCCACCTGTGCCCAGCGCAGCCAGCAGTGCCACCAGTCAGTGCAGCAGTGATGCCAGTCAGTGCCACCTATCAGTGCTGCCTATCTGTGACACCTCATTAGTGCTGCCTATCAGTGCCGCCTATTCGTGACACCTCATTAGTGCTGCCTATCAGTGCCCATCAGTGCTGCCTATCAGTGCCCATCAGTGCTTCCTCATCAACAAACATCAGTGAAGGGAGAAAAATTACCTGTTTGAAAAATTTTATAATAGAAACAAAGAAACTTTTTTTTTCACATTTTTTGCACCTTTTTTGTTTATAACGCAAAAAATAAAGTGCCCAGCGGCAATTGAATACCACCAAAAGAATGCTCTATTTGTGATAAAAAAATGATAAAAATTTCATATGGGTACAATCTTGCATGACCGCGCAATTGTCAATCAAAGTGCTACAGCACTGAAAGCTGAAAATTGTCCTGGTAAGAGGGGGGTATAAGTGCCCGGCAGGCAAGTGGTTAATATTGTATTTGTATTTTGCTCAGCGCTCTCACTTTAAAGGTTGCAAAGTTTATTTTGTCTATTTGTGACCTTAGCGCGGTCCATTTTTTAAATATATAAGATTTTGTGTTTAGGAATTCACATTTAGGACTGCTGCTATATAGGTATCTTATATATAGTTACATTCTGTCACATGTATGTTAATTTATTTTTTCCTAAGCACAACATCACCCCCTTTTTTTTTCTTTCAAACAAAGTTGATTTTCACCAAACTTTTGAGGAAATTTTTATTTATTTACTACAGGTACTTATATAGGCCATCAATATACGCAGCGCTTTACATACATATATATTGTGCATTCACATCAGTCCCTAACCCTCAAGGGGCATACAATCCAAGGTGCCTAACTTACATTCATACACATACTAGGGCCAATTTAGACACGATCCAATTAACCTACCAGCATGTCTTTGGAGTATGGGTGGAAACTGGAGTACCTGGAGGAAACCCACGCAAGCACAGGGAGAACATGTAAACTCCAGGCAGGTGGTGCCATGGTTGGGATTTGAACTAACGCTCCCAGTGCTGCCAGGTGGAAGTGCTAACCATTCAGCCACTGTGCTGCCCATGGAAATGAAAACTTATTTTTGCTCATCTGTACTGGGCAATTTAGATGGGTTGGAAAGACCAGCTACTGCAGGGAAATCTCTTCCATGGAGTCTCTGAGTGATAGAGTGATAGAAGAAGCCAGTGGGCGATTCATCAGTTTTGGTGAGATGGACTGTAACAGTTTTGTCCATCAAATAACAGTTATGATTTATTGAGA